GGAGTTCCAGATGTGAGGGGCAGCTGAGCAGAAAGTGTCTTATCTTAGTATGTATCATATTAGTTGATTTCAGCACACTATGGAGCCCATAATGTAAATGTAATACACCCTATCTGCTCTCATCGAAGAGCTTATACTAGTTCTGGAAAGTCTGGATATTAGTGGATATATAAGTTATATTTCAGGTCTCAGTTATTTCTGGATATTAGTGGATATATAAGTTATATTTCTGGGAACAATTAAGTGCCCGACTCTTTAAAACAGGTGCATCTGAGATCACAGGATGCTTCTGGCTCTCATTCTGTGCTTATGTCCTGTTACTAGCAGGGGTCCACATAATCATCCCAGCAGATGTTTCCTCAAAAAAAAGGAAGAACCAGAGCTCGCCTTTGCGTTGTGATGACAATAACGAGAGTGTAGGTCACATAGAGGAATAAACACGTCTGAATATTTGAGGTTGTACTTTTGGTGTACACTGTATGTGAGTTTTACTGGGTTAGGCTCATGAATCTCACAATAAATGTCTTCCTGTGTGACGCAGAAATGAAGAGGGACGCCTCAGCAGCCAGACCTGTAGACCAGACCCGTTAGTCACAGCTGGACTTCCTGTAAAAACATCGCAAAGAAACCTGCGTGCACTTCAGTTCTTGATGTCAGTGGCTAATATTGGGCCGGCCACTGGAAAACAACGTGTAACGAAAGCTTTTCTGGATTGTGTAACCAATAACACCCTCCCATCAGTTAATAAATACACTGAGAGTTTCTACTGTCGTTACAAAACAGGCTGATTCAGCTCACGTCTGTATCGTACGTGGTTTTTCGCTCCTGTAGTCAGCAAGATATGCTCAACTTAAAAAAAAAAAAGATGTACAGTCTACGTACTGTACCCTGAACAGTCAGCTGGTTAACTACGTAACGGTGTTGTGAAGATATTCCTCCGCAGATGGATTTTGTTTTATTCTGTATGAAGGTTTGTCCGCACTGTCTGTCGTTTTGAGAAGTAGAGTGAATCGCAGTTCTGTTTTACAAGATATCCATCTACCCGTTTCTATTTGGTTAAACCAGACTACATTTAATGTTTAGTCTAGTTTTTAATACACATTTTTATTCCCTTAAAACTTTTGCAAAACATGTTGATTTGGCTTCCTTCCTACCTACAGATTAGAGAGTCAGTGGCAAAAGATTAACAGTGCTGCAGCGGGAAATTCTCCAGACTAAGTGGATCGTTTTCAGCTGACTGCTTCAGGAAACGTCTCTTGTTAATGCTCACAAGACAGTTGTGGTGCTACTCTACTACTTCACAATGCAGCGTGATTTGTAGAAGCTTCTCTTGTCATATTTCCCTGGTTTATGAGTTAATCAGAGTAGATATATGTGATACAAGTCCCCCTTTTATTCTTGGTAAATGAATTACTAAAGATTTTCACATACAGGCTCCTTTTGTGTGACTTTAATTTCAACCATGCGGTCTTCAGCCGTTAAGATGTCCTGACCTGAGGGCAGTAGTCAGTATCGTTCAAAGACACAGCGGGTGAAAACTGGAGCACTGCGTTTGAACTAGGTCGCTGTCTTCTGATGGCCGACCTTTATCCTCTGCTGAGAAACGTCTCCTCGGTTGTTTCGATGAACCTACGTACTGAAGCTCTTTGGCCATTTCAGGAATGAAAGATGTGTGACACATTTGAACAAGTTTTATGTTATATTTCTACCTTGTGTGAGGTCAAGCGTCATGGCTGATTTTAAAACGGACTCAGAGAAGTTTTTATAGCAAGATGACAGATTTTATATAGGTTTATTTTACTGTGAAGGACACTTCCAATCAAACACCCTCTTAAAACATTCAGGACATTTTCTAAATTCACCAGTAAGTTACTTTGCCGCAGGATCTTTCTGTCAATAATTGTGCTGAAGACAGAAAATAATGAAACCATTTAAAAATATATCCAAACCCTTTAATATTCTGTATTTGTGGTAAGAGTAATTATAAACAAAAGCGCTGCTCTGAGGCGCTGGTATGCAGTGTGTAACAGAAAGTGAGTGTGTTAATAATAAT